GAGGCGGGGGAGGGGGGGGCGGGCCCGCGGTGGGGGCCGGGCTGCCTGGTACCCCCTCCCTGTCCGGGCCACGCCGCTTAGTCCGGGGGCGGGGTCAACGGCTGACCCCTCACCCCCTCCTGGCCTCTGGTCTCCAAGCCTTTCCCGCATCCTCGCCCCTGGCCTCTCATGGCACCAGGGAGGAGTCGCAAGCGCTAAAGTATCTGCCCCTCCAACCCCGAGCCCCTCGGGACCGAGCCGATCAGCACCCCCCCACTTCCGCGAAGGGACATGGGCGGGCTCACGAAATGGGCCCTCGGCCCGGGGGCGGAGTTTTTCCTAAGGGGTAAGGCCAAGGTATCCCGAATACTGACAGGCAGGGAACCCGGCCGCGGGTTATTAAGGCTGGGGGGTGGCGGTGGGAGGATACCCAGGGTATTGGGGTCAGGGTGGTATTAGCCTAGCTCAAGCTGGGCTGGGCTGACTCAGCGTCCTGTCCCAGCCGACCTCCATCCCCGAGGGCTCTGCACTCCCCTGGGCAAGCAGACATGGGAGATGGCGCCGGTGTTGCCCCTGGTGCTGCCCCTCCAGCTCCGCATCCGTCTGGCTCAGGGGCTCTGGCTCCTCTCCTGGCTGCTGGCACTAGCTGGCGGCCTCACCCTCCTCTGTAGCGGTCACCTCCTGGTCCAGCTGTGGCATCTTGGCACCTTCCTGGCCCCCTCCTGCGCGTTCTCTGCCCTACCCCAGACTGCCTTGGCAGCAGGCATAGTGGCTCTGGGCTTGGGACTTGGGGGAGCCGAAGCCAGCCGGGCAAGTCTGAATGCAGCTCAGTACCCTCCCTGGCGAGGGGTCCTGGGCCCACTTCTAGTGGCTGGCACTGCTGGGGGTGGGGGGCTCCTGGTCTTTGCCCTTAGTCTAGCCCTGTTTTTGCCTGGGAGTCTGGATGCGGGGTTGGAGGAAGGTCTGGGGACTGCCTTGGTTCACTACAAGGACACAGAGATGCCTGGGCACTGTCATGCCAAACGGCTAGTGGATGAGCTGCAGCTGAGACACCATTGCTGTGGCCGCCACGGGTACAAGGATTGGTTTGGGGTCCAGTGGGTCAGCAGCCGTTACCTGGACCCAAGTGACCAGGACGTGGTTGCGTGAGTGATTTGCTTCTTTTGCCTCCTCCTCCTTCCCAGACACCTCCCTCCTACTGCCTTGAAATCCCACCTCACCCAGACAGGCAGTAAGTAGAGCAATGTTTGAGGGATGGGTTACAGCTCTGCCACTTACTACCTGTATATCTCAGGGCATGTTAGCAAACCACTCTGGGCCCATTTCCTCGTCTGTAAAGTGGAGTACCTGTTTTTAAAAGTGTTTTTTTTTAATAATTATTTAATTTTATTATTATTGTTTAGTTTGCTATAGGGCTCACCAGACACAGACAGAGACAGAAAGTGAAAAAGCAAGCCACCAGGTCTGGGACTCGAACCGCGGTCTGCCATGTGGGAGTCCAGTACCTTAACCAGCACACCACCTACTAGCCCCAATAATACCTATTTTATAGATAGATACCTATCTGTATTTTATTTTATTTTATTTAGAGGATTTTGTCTTAGGATGAGTACACTCACAGGAGAGAGACAGTGAGGGAGCCATGGTGAAGATTATGAATTATGCATGCCTGGGACATAGTAAAGCAGTCAGAAAACGGCTTATTGTCACCTTTCCCTTCTCAACTCCTCTGCCCCTCAGCTTTCCTTGCAGCTGCTTATCTCCACAAATCTTAACACCCCTGCCCCTCTCTTGCAGCCGGATCCAAAGCAATGTGGAAGGTCTATACCTGATTGATGGGGTCCCTTTCTCCTGCTGCAACCCCCACTCACCCCGGCCTTGCCTGCAAAGCGGACTCTCAGACTCATTTGCTCACCCCCTTTTTGATCCCCAACAACCCAACCTAAACCTCTGGGCCCAAGGGTGCCATGAAGTGCTGCTGGGGCACCTGCAAGGCTTGGCAAGGAAACTGGGCAGCATGCTGGCTGTCACCTTCCTGCTGCAGGTGAGTCAATGTGAGGCCTCCTTCCATTTGGGACTCCTCGCTGTCTCCAACCCCGTGGCCCCTGGAGCCACTGGCCCCCTCTGACTCTTTTCCCTTACTTCCCCCACAGGCTGTGGTGCTCCTCGGCCTGCGATACTTGCAGACAGCGCTCGAAGGGCTTGGCGGGGTCATCGATGGAGAAGGAGAGACCCAGGGCTATCTCTTTTCTGGTGGGCTAAAAGACATGCTGAAAACAGCATGGCAACAGAGAGGAGTTGCCCACAGGCCAGCACCTGAGGAAGCACCTCCCAAGGAGGCCTAGAGTGTGGGGTGTGAGATGCGGGAATGACGGAGGGATGGACACATCTGGAAACCTCACAAGGCTCCAGGCTGGGGACAAGAGGTCCCTGGAACGAATGAGTTTAAGGATTGCAAGCTGGACTACGGAAGGGAGAAAACCAGGGACCCTAGGGTCAGAACCACCAGGGAACAGGAAAGAACAGGGTGATGGGAAAGGACATAGAACTACAGACTGCTTCTGGCACACAGACTCAATAAAGTTATGGACGGAGGCCACTGCTCTTTCTTGTCAAGGGGATGGGAGCCCTGAGAGAACCGATTTCTGCTTGAGAAGCCTGGGCTCCAAAGTTGTGAGCCTGACTCAGTTTGTGCAGGAACAGGCGTCCACATCTGTATGGATCAGAAAGCAAGAACCAGACATGCGAAGTCAAAGAAAACAAGAGGCCCCTCCAGGTTGAGATTCTTTATTCTGGAGGTAGGAGGAGGGGTCAGCATGCTCAGGTGGGGAGGGTCCAGCCCAGCTCCTCCAGCCCCCCAGTACATGCCCAGCCCCAATAAATTACTCAGTTTCTCAGCCGCCCTCCCTCTTAAGTCCATCAGTCCTTCTGCTCTACCCCAGACAGGGCCGACCTGGCTCAGTACAAGGGCTGCTTGTCCCCAGCCTGTGGGTGGTGCCACATGGCAGGCTGGGGGAGGGGAAAAGCAGCAGGGTCACACCCTGAGGCTGGAGGGGCAGCGTCTGGCTCTGAGGGGTCAGGACTTGGAAAACCACATCCTGGGCAAGCTTGGAGCCCAGTGCCACAAGGTCTGTGCCTGAAACAAGGTGGTAGTCGGGGTGGGCTGCCATCACACCTCAATGGCTGGGTCTGAGCCCCGGCCCTGCCGCTGCAGCTGCTCCTCCTGCTTCATCTTGGGCTTCTCTGTCCGTGTATGCCACACCAGTACCTGTACCAGGAGTGGTTTGGTTAGTCAGAGCCCGCCATAGCCAGGCCTCAGGATTCTCCCACCTCCTCGACTTACACAGCGCTGGCTACAAAGTGTGAAGGACAGGGTGCGAGACTTCAGTAACTCTAAAGTGGGGGCCTGTTCTTTCACCCCGTCTGTCTCATGTGGGTTCTCAGGACTCTGGGAGAGAGGGTGGCAGACCACTTCCCCTCCCTGGCCCCCAGCTCCCTCCTCAGTAGAAAAAGCAAGGTTGAACCAGAGGATCCTCCTGGTTCTAACACCTATTTCCAAGGCCCACCCCAAAGCCAGGTGTTCATTCATGTGGCCTTGGCTTACCCGAGTGCAATTGGCAGCCCGTGGCTCCAGGTCCTTGGGATCCACAAGGTGGCTCAGGAGACTGCTCTCCAGGTGCCCCCGGGGAGCAGTAGCATCAAACTGGACACTGGGCTTAGCCAACAGCAAGGGCAGGGCAACAGCAAATCCCGCCATATCCACAGGGAAGGGCCTGTTGGGCTCCCATGCTGTGTGGAAGCCCACAACCCGGCCATCCTGTACCCGAGGGCCCTCGAATCGCAGGCCGCCCACCAGGCCCACAGGCCACACTGAGACACCACGGGTCCAGCGCATCTAACGGAGGTCAGGAGAGAAGAAACAGAGAGGGGTGGCCTGGGGGAAGGGAGCAGCAAAAGAATCACTGGCGCTCTGCCCCACTGTTCCCCACTCCTCACCCAGCAGCCCTAGCAACACTGGTAGCCAAGGTTAACAAGTGAAGCTGGCCCCACTTGGCTTCTTCCCCCATCCCCATCCCAGTGCTCACCTCCTCAAAGAGCTCCCGGCTGTAGGTGTTGTCATCATCGGCAAAGTACACAACTCCCTGGGTCCCTGGTAGTGGGGGGTCCTTCTCCCCACCCACCGCGCCCCCTTTGCCCCGGAGCCAGTCCAAGGCCTTGTTCCGCTGCTCTACACCACGGGGCCGAACCCAGCCCGGCTCGCCTTCCCGAAGCCGCTGGGCCTTGGGTGTGAGGACCGCCAGGTGTGTGAAGAGGAGACCAGAGGCAGCCAGCAGCCCTGAGACCAGTGGGGTGGGGCCCTCGGCATCCTCCACCAGCAGCCAATGCAACCGGGGCACCAGGCTCAGTGTCTGGGACAGCCGCACCAGCTCTGCCTTCTGCACCAGCCTGCAGGGGGAGAGACCAGCAGGAGCCAAAGGGGTAGGTACTGTTTCCCACCCCAGCCCACAGACAGCCTCTGTGGAGCCACTGCAGTGTCTCCCACAGCCTTTCCCCGGCTAGTGGCCACACTCTCTCTTGCTTGTCAACTTCATGCTGACACTCACCTGCCCTGTTATCAGTCCATGTCTGATAGATGTCTGGGTTTGCATCCCAGCTTTGTAACTTATTAGGTAAAACATTTTGAGAAAATGCCTCAATCTCCCTGAGCCTAATTCCTCAGCTGTAAAATGAGCATAACAGTACTTTAGAGTTTAGAGTAATCATTGCTTTAAAGATTAAATAAGAAAATGACTTTCTGAAATACCAGTAGACCAGAATGTTTTCCTCCTGGGGTCTTTCCAGAAGACTTTTTTTTTTTTTCTTTTAAGAGACAGGGTCTCACTATGTTGCCTATGCTGACCTTGAACTTGCAGTCTTCCTGCTCAGCCACCCAAGTAGCTGGAACTACAGTCAAGTGTCATTGCATTTGGCTCAAAAGAAGGAATTTACTCTAGTTATTCCTTTCTAGGGAAGGAAAATAGATTTGAGCTTAGAGAAGGAAATAAGAACATATGGCTGGTCCTCTCCTCCGTGTTTTTTTGTTTGTTTGTTTGTTTTTTGAGATAGGCCAGGCTACCCCCAGGTTAGACATGGGGTGTGGGGGAAGGTAGGGACTCTTAGAACTGTCTGTACTTGGATTGGTCATCTGATTCCAGGGAGGCTTGTTAACACATTTTTGGCTACAGAATCAAAAACATATCTTTCAATGGATTTTACCAGTAACAAAGTTACATCTTGAATTAAAGCAAACAAAAAACAATGTGAAGCATTTAGCACCGCTGCCTCGTAGACACTACACAGGGTAAATAACAGCCAGTGTAACTCTTCCTGTGTCCTGGTAGGGCTGTTGGCTAAGCCTCTTTCTACTCTGATTAGAGGTTTTCCAGTTTTCTCACCGAAGGATGCCTACAGAGACAGAGTTAACAATTTGGCAAGCTCAAAATGGCTTCAAAATTTTATTGTTCTATTTTAAAATGTATAAAGAATTCTGTATTTTACTTCATAGTATACCCCCATTTTAACAGAAAAATAAACATTTTCCCACAACTCTTGAATAAAGGTGTAATTCATTTATTTTCATTTGGCATGCTCTAGTTTGAGGAACATCCCCCAACCCAGTGCCTACCCAAAAATCATCAACCCCAACTTCTTGGTCAATGTACTCCTCTCAGGTGCATCAGAGCCCATACCTGGCATAGGTGGGGGTGACAACATAGATAGTAGGCAGGGCCTCAGGTTCAGGGGGCTGGGCAGGGGCAGGGGGCGGGCGTCGGAGATCGGCCTGCAGTTGGGAAATCCTCAGATCCTTCTGCCGAAGCTGCTCAGCAGCTGCCCGCAGAGGAGGGAGGCAGTCACATGGCTGGCCTGGTCCCAGGAAGCATTGATGGAGAAAGGGGATGGGGCAGAGAACCACAGAATGTTCAGCATCCCAAAAGGGATATAGCCTTCTCGTTACAACCTAACTCCTAGCCAATGCAGGAATCCCCCCCTACAACTTCTCTAACTGCCCTTCACACCTCTGGTTAGGCAGGGAACTCACTACCTCAATTAGCATCATCTCTCCATCTTTAATAAATTTCATGTTACGACTTTTCATTTGGATACTGAACTGATTATCTGCCTCCATCCTTTGTTTATTATTTAGACAGGTCTTGCTATGTGGTGATCTTCCAGCCTCAGTCTCCTGAGCAGCTGGGACTACAGGCACATGCCACTACACACAGCTCTTTAGAGGTGTGACAGGATTAGACCTAGAACATCCCATGTGGCCTCAGTGTCAACCTGCACATGTGTGTTACTGCAGCTGGGCCCGTGCCTCCATCCTTTCTACCTGCTGGTCCTAGTTTTGCCTTCTGGCCTCACAATGAACAAGGTGGTGCCCCTAAATAGGACAGTCCTTCAAATACCTGAGGATCATGCAATGGCACTGTCCCTAAATCCCTGCATAAGAGGCAGCACTCAATCTGTTCCCTTGGCTATGTGACCAAAGACTGGTTATTAAATCCATTGATTCCATCATGGGATGAACATTTATTAAACACTGGTCCTGGGAGATGCTGTTTTGGTGCTGGCAGGTACAGCAGGGAACAAAATGGACAAGGTCCCTGCCATCATGGAGCTTTCAGTTTGTTGGAGGAAGCAGAAACGTTATGCAAAAACAAATAAATAAAATTAACAAAGATCCCTACAAATTGTGGTAAGAGCCATGAAGGACAGACAAGGGAATGGAGAATAAGGTAGTCAGGGGCGGCCTCTCTGACGAGGTGACATATAAGCTGAGACCTGAAAGATGAGAGGCAGCCTGGGAAGAGCTCTGAGAAAAGCACCGCAGGCAGAGGGAACCGGTTAAGAGCTTGAGAGAGAAATGAAAGTGGGGTTTTCGAGTAACTGTCGTCAGCCAGTGTGGCAGAGCGAGGAAAAGGGATAGGAAATGGGGCTGGACGCGGACGGCGGCAGGATCATGCGGGGCCTTGCAGGCTCTGGGAAGGAGTCTAGATTTCATCCGAGGTGTGGAAGGAAGCTGCGGTGTGTCCTAGAGAGGGACGTGCGCCCGCGGCCGCCGAGGGCTGTCCGGTGGACCGAGCGGGATGAATGGTGTCTACGCGGAGATGCATCCCCAGGGCGGGATGCTCTGCGGCGGGGGCCCTCGGGCCA